GGCCGTCCAGTCAGCCGGCCGCGGAGCTCGGGGTCCCCTCCTGCGTCTCGCGCTGACCTCGGGGCCCAAAGCGGCCCCGCGCCCCAGCCTGGGCCCGTGGCTCGAGCCGAGCCCCATCCCCTCACCTGTGACCCCCCGCCCCCGGCCCCGAGGCCGGGCGGAGGGTGACGGAGGTGGCGCGAGTCCCAGCCACACACCCACCCCTCCCGGCAGGGTCTAGGCCGCGCTGCGCGGCGGGGCCGGGGCCGTGCCCTCGACGGCCTCTCACCTGGTCGCTTCGGGAGTGGGGCGGAGTCGGGGCGCCGAGGAGCTGGCTGTTCCCGGCTTGTTCCCACCGGCTGCTGCCGGGAACCGGGCGCTACAATGGAGGTGTCGGGTGTCCAGGCGGCGGGAGCAGAGAGGGATTAGCGCTGGGGCGGGCCCCTTCCCAGGGGGTGGTCACGACTGGAGCCTGGGCCTGAAGGCGAAAGTGGAGGGAAGTCCTGGGAGATGGGGTGAGGAGGGCGCTGTGCAGGATCTGGGCTTTAGCTGGGGCCCAGGGGTGTTCTCGGCGCAGACAGTGCCCAGCCCCCAGCCCTGCTGCCCCGCACCCCCCTTCATCTGGTCATCTCGCCTGGCCCAGGAGTATGGGGCCAAGCACGCCCCCACGTACACGCGCAGGAGTCCACCGCGGTGGAGGGAAGGCCTCGGGGTTATGACACTCCCGGACGGGTCCTTCCGGACCCGAGACGCACTGGCTCAGTGGAGCTGGGGGAGGGCCGGCCAGGGCAGGGCCCTGAGGCTGCTGATCCAGGAGTCTGGGCCTGGTCCCAAGGTCGCCAGAGGGACAATTTGCTGCCTGTGCAGTCCGACCCTGAGCTCCCTGGGCCAGAGGGAGTGGACGGGAGAAGAGATGGGTGGCCCCGTGTCCACCCTGAGGCCCTGCTGGAGGAGATGGGGGCAGGGAGAGGGGAGCATCCAGGTCCCGCCTGCCTCCACCCTGATCCCCAGCTGGCTCTCCTGGAGCTCCGCCCCCCCACCCCTGGCTTCCGGGTGAGGTTGGCCTCCAGCCCAGAGGTCGGTAATTTGCCCAGCCACCTCCTGGCCTGGTGCAGACCTGGTTGCTCACTGAGGCCCCGCCCGGTCCTCCCTGGGCCAGTGAGCAGCCCCACCCTGGGCCTGGGCGTCCATCCTGCTGGCCTTACCACCTCCTGGCCCCCACCTGGGGGGACCTGTCATGAGCGTCTTTTCCCTGTGTCTTTTCCTCCCAGGACCTGACTTCCTCCAAGGTGAGGGAGGGGCGGCGAGGTGTGTGTCCAGAGGGCCACCTGGACCCCCTGCTCTCACCTGGGGGAACAGGTGAACAGGCACAGAGGGATGGAGAGGCCGGAGGACCCTGTCTGCCTGCGGCATGTGGGGGCTGTGCAGAGCTGGGGAGCAGCTTTCATGGCTGTGGTCCTTTCATATGGGGAGGCCTCGAGATGGACAGAGAGAGCTGGGAGGCCTGGAGAGGGGCCCAAACTGACACCCACAGGGGGCCCCCAGAGCCAGAGGGGCCCCTGGGGCAGGGGAGCCCCCAGGAGGGGTCTTGGGAGCCAGCATGTGGCCAGGGAGGTGTAAAGCCAAAGCTCAGTGGGGCCCCAGGGTCTGCTACTAGTATGAACACAGGGCAGCCAGGCCTGGCAGCCGCGTGAGGACGCAGCAGGGCAGCGGCTCACGGGCTCAGGGGCGGGGCTGCACGCCTGAGCACAAGCCAGAACTGGAGGCCGTGGCCCAGGAAGGCAGGCCCCACCCAGGGAGGCCGGCCCAGGACGCCCAGTGGCAGTGCTTGCCCTTCTGCAAGCCCAGGCAACAGCTCTGCAGGGGGTGAGTGCAGAACAGGATGAGCCCGGCAGGTTCTCAGGACACTGGCCTGCCCTGAGGCAGGCCCTCGCGGGGCCAGTGGAGCAGTCTGAGGCCTTGGACCGCTGCTGTGGTCTGGGGTTGTCTGGGTATGTGGGGACTCTCTGGGGGGCGGTGGCCCCACGGGGGCCAGGGGCGCACGTAAGGCCCCGGTCCACGGGGGGCCTCGCAGCCCAGGGACAGACAGCCGTGTGGGGCACAGCCCCTGGGTGAGGGCCCGGGGGTTGGGTGCCCCAGGGTGAGGGGTGGGGTGTGGAGGACTGGCCAGCCAGCCGGGCCGTCTTGGGAGGTCTGGACCGTGGGGCGGGTACCACGTTCCTGCCGGCTGGTGGGAGCCCGGGCCACAGCGCCAGCCTGGCTGTGCCTGCCCGCAGGTGGGGCTGGGGACACCCTGACCCTGCTTGGACTACGCAAGCCCAGGAGCGTGTTCCCAGCTCCCCGGTGTCTGTGTTCCGGGGGTGGGTGACAGAGGAGATGTGATCAGGGCCTCTCCTCCCTCTCCTCTGCAGCCCCAAGGCCACTGCACCCCACAGCCCCCAGTTGGTACTCGGGCCACTCGGAACCACATCCCCTTGGCCTCCACCTGAACCCCAACTCGCTTTCAGAATGGAGCTGTCCCTGACCGACCTCTTACTCAGCCCAGCTGCTCAGCCCAGAGCCTCCTCCTCCAGGATGGGATGGGGTCTCCCCGCCCCGGGGGCCCCAGTGGTGAAGGGAGGCTGAGTGAGGGCAGTGGCCGGCCGGGGCTGGGCAACAGCTCCTCACAGGGCCAACATCAGGCCCGGCCAGCTTCCTCCCGACAGTCTGCCCACAGGTGGCGACGGGGGTTCCGGGGGAAGGGCAGCCCGCGTCAGCCTGGGGCCCCGGCGAGTGTCCTCTCCCTGGGCCAGTGGGCTCTGCCCACGGCTGGGACATCCGTCCACTGCGAGGGGGAGGCTCTCGAGGCCCTTCTGTTTGTTCAGCACCTCTCTGGGCTGAAGCTCCCCAGACGGGGCCAGTGTGGGATCCCCAGGACCCTCCCTTGGAGGGGCTCGTGGGGTAACTGCTGTGCCTCTGGAGCCGGGCTTGCTGACCCTTCACGCCCAGTGGTCCGGCCACCACTGCCAGGCCTGCCTCACAGAGCACCGCAAGGGTCCACGGAGGGAACGGCCGCAAAGCTGGCATGGGGGTACCCACGGGTGCCTGGGCTGGGCTGCAGGGCAGCTCTGCCCCGTGGGGAGGTGGCCTGAGGGGCTGTCTGGCGCGCGTGTCCGGCCGGGCGGGCCTGGCTCAGGCAGCCACTACGCCCCTTCCCCCAGTCACATGCGGTGCTTGCTGCTTCCACTGGGAGTCGGGCGCCAGCGAGGCCCCAGGTGCTTCTGCCTGCAGGCGCGGACTCCAGGAGGGACCCTGCGCCCACCCGCGCCCCAGAGCGAGGCATGATCAGTGCCGCACCCCACACGC